TATGATTGTACTCTATTTTTTCACATTTTTCTGTTTAAACACAATAACTAACACTTTGTTTCAAAAACTAAGATGCTAAAAGTTTTGACTTGTTCACTCCTAATAACAGTGGTTCTTGTGTAATTCACCCTTAAAGAACTGAAGTCTCTGGAGTGTCTCAAGTTGTCTCTTGTTGGGAAAATGCCTAGTTTATTGTGGAAACTTAAAAATAAAAAGCACACTACAAAAGCAGCATGGAGGGGCTTTTGGCCCCATGCCTATATCTAAAAGTAATTATCCAGTAGCATTTGGACTGTCACATTTTTAGACCGAGTTTCTTGGTGAATTTGATCCCTCCACAGCTGTGATTGGTTTAAACCCCACTGTAAATGAGGAGGGCAGAGTATCGAATCCGCGCCAGGCCCGGATTAACCATCGCGCCCAAGCTGTCGGGTTGCTGCCTGCCTGGATCATGTTCGCCTGTGTTACGTCCCTGACTTCAGTTTCTTCTGCAAAAGCCTGTTTTTTTTTTTGTGTAAGCAACACTCTCTTTTCTTGTTGTGGGTAAACAGTGAGTTATTCTGCCCCAGTTGTAAAGTGTGGCTTCTGATGGCTCTGCAAAGCTTTGAAAAGACAAAGTGGCTGGTGTTTTGGGGGAGGAGTGAGGCTAGTGACTGGCAGATGTTAAAAAGTGTTTGTGTGAGTTTCTTATATGTATAGAATAAACTTTCAGGCCCTTATATATATATATATATATATTCAAAAATCCATTGCTGTAACTTCTCAGCATGTTTCAAGCATGCTAGAGGATTTAAAACAGGTTGTTTGGAGGAAGGGATTTTCAGATAAGTTTTAAATTTGTTTGGCTGAGTAGCCTGGGCACTTTGACAGATGTTTGGACGAAACATCTTTGCATTTTTAACAGCCCTTGCACTTAGATCTCTGCTGATCTCTGACTTCAGCTGTCTATTACGGTAACAAGACCTCTGCAAAAGCAAGGAAATCAAATCCATGTGTTTTTTTTTTTTTCTTCGTAATTGCAAAAAGCAGAAAAACTTGATTTTCTCCTAATAAAACTGCCTGTATTCTCCTCAGAGTGTGTGTATGTGGCTATGTGGTATGCGTATAGGTTTCTGCACAGTTTTTTGATTAAGAGTGTCAAATAATCCCTCGTGTTGAAACAGCTAAGCAATTGTAAGGCCTTCCAAATGATGATGTCTGTTATACCTAGTGTGCTGCGTGAGGAGTTGCTGCAAATATTTGGAATTTGGGCCTTGCACTGTTTTTGTTACCCATGGTTTTTGGCACCTCTAAGCACTTGCTCTTAAGCTGTGCTAGTTTATAATATGTCTTTGCTGGTGCAGCTGAAGGGGTGCTGGCAAACAAGGTGGAATATTTATTTTCTGTTCCATAATCCATCGATAATCCTGTTGGGTGAGATCTCTACCCTGCTTTTTTTTATACTTAATTTTGTTTAGTGTCAGCTTGACCAGGAGCACCTTGCCTGTGTGAAGGGGAGGGCTCTCCTGCAGCTGTTAGCTAGCAATAGGTTTGCATAGTTTTTGCAGAAGGTTCTGGTGATGTTACTAAAATCTTTGCTACTTAGAGAAACAGAATTCAGTAGTGGATTTGAGAATTGTGGATTAGATTGAGTCAGTGTTGTTTTTACTTTGCTTTACTACCCATAGGATAATTATAAATTGAATAAAAGCCCTAGCATGAAAGCTCAGTAATCTTACTTTCACATACTTAAGTCAATGATCTATTTGATTTTAATGATATAAGATAGCATAGTTTTGCAGATGCACTTGTTTATAGAATCTGTTTATATTGCTCAGGTAACCATTTTTGGTTACCTGAATTATCCACAGCCATGAAAGTGAGGCATGTGGCACCGGTGTTGCATTTTTAATTTTAACCAGCTGCTTTGTGTTTTGAATTTCATTGCCTAGGCTAAAAAGATGCATTGCCCTTCACAAAGGCCGTGTTAGCATGAACAGGGGAATTGCAGTGTTTGTCTAATTCTGCATTACTCTTTAAAGAAGAGTTTTGGTTAATGGTTACATATGAGTTCCCCCACATAGGAGTGTGTTTGCAGTAGAGCATCGAAGATGTTCTTAATTACTTGTCAGTTTAACTCCTTTTCTTTTCCAGATTTATCTCCTCTCCAGAGGTTTTTGTTCTCGTCACAGTTTTTAGACTGTGACAGAACAGTTGTTGTTACACACCACTTTTGTAACAAACCTACATATTGTTATTTTTTGAAATGAATTACTTTCCATAGCATGAAGTACTTCTCTGTAACTTCATAGCTTCTCATGTTAGCTTGTCTCCTTCTCTATTCTGCTAGTGTTACAGTAACGGAGGAAATTATGCCTCTTATTCCCAACTAGGCCTCATCAGGTGGAACTGAAAACTCGGCTGCAAAGGGTCTTTCGTTTTTCTTGTATTCTCTGTCTATTCTCATTGCCCTGTTTCCCCCCAGGGACTTGCACCCGTTTCTGGCTCTGGGAGTGTTGTGGGTGGAGGGAGGCAAGAAGGGCTCTGCTCTACCTCTTCTGCAGTAATCCTAACCTCTAGCCGCAGTGTGGGATCACCTACGGAAGGAGAGTGCTAAATTACAGCCGTTTTGTTCAAGTCTCACGCTCGCATCAAATGCATTGAATGTTAAATCACGCAAATAAGCATAGTGTTGTTTTAGAGTACATATGCTGCTCCATATCTGGGGGCATGTTAGGATCTTATCTTCAAAGGCTATCTTCTAAAAATATAATGCATCAAGATTGCATCTTGTTTTTACTTGTATACATGGAAGTAAAGGAGTAAGGAGGTGTTAAGGCACTTCTTGAATGTGTGACTCTGTCAGCGATAGATTTGGAGAGCTACTTTGTAAGATACTAAATTTCGTGAATGTGAAAGAACTTGGCTTATGTGTAAAATACACTAGTGTGTGTAGTACTTCCGAAGCAATATATCACAGCGTTTGTCCATAGAGGCTGCTTCGTTGGCAGCTAGCTGCCCCCCTTGTCCTATGAATGGAATTTGCAGCATGAAAAGACAGGTTTCTTATAAAGGAGGCTCCGAAAGGAAGGCTCCTGAATTCCCTGTGATTGCACCCCAGCAGGAACGGCTTCAAAACCCCACCGAGCCGCCTGCCTTGCAAAAATGCTGAACAGTCAGAAGCTCCTATTGAAAGCTGACGGGTGACTCAACGTTTCTGAAGATCATTCCACCTAAATAAGGATTTATTTGCCTCATCTTAGTGCTCTGAAAGCCAGCATGCAAAATGCTCATTCATAACTTCTAGGGGTGTAGGAAAGAGCTGCAGGCCTAATAAGTGTTTCTTTATTTAAAACTCTTGGCTAATATCTTTATCTAGTCACTTATTTATGATTACTCTCGTATGCGTATGTGGGGTGGTGGTTTATATTTAAGGAAAATGATGTTCTCTTCTGTTGAAGCTGGCAAGCTTTTGCAGATTTCTGTGCTCGTTGCCATGGAGAATGACTGGCAGGTTAAGCTTGACTTTTAAAAGAGGATTACTGAGCCGGAGTGCAAAAAAGCCAGTGTTGAGGGAGGTACTTTAATAACTAGGTAGAACAGTCCTACTCAAACTTTCAGGGAATTGTGTTCCCTGGGGAGAAATTAGGTCTGAAACCTTCTTTACAAAGGGAAAAAGCTATCGAAAATGGAAAGGGGGGAGATTTGCACTGTTTTTCCCGAAATACTCCTGTACTTTGTATTCCAGTTGAAATTAGAGCAGACATTAAATAGGGAAGTCTTTGTTTCGTTATGTAATTGTGCTGGAATTGTCTTGCATTATTCCTTTTGCAAAAAGGAAAATGATGCATTTGCACTGTGATTTGTGTGATGCATTAACTTTCTAAGTTAAAACTGCTCTTATTTTTGTGTGATGCGTTCGTTTCCAGTAAGTAGCTGCTGCTGCTGTTGTACCTCCTAACAAATAGCAAATTCCAGTGTAGTAGCAGGTCTTTGACCCAACTCGTGCCTCAGATATGTGGAAAAAAACAACACCTTTTTTTTCCTTAAGTATTGAAATCGTGTATATTTTATTTAAATTGATTAGAGCAACGTGGTTAAGTTTACTCAGAAAATGTAAATAATAAAATCAGTAATGTATATTTGCTGCCAGTGTTTTGAGAAAGTTAGGCCAAATAGTTGCTAGAATTATTACTTGGCTGACTACCTGAAACCAGAGTTGCACAAAACCTACTATCCTAAGTGTCTGGATAAAGTGAGATCAAATGCAACAATTAGTTCATTCAGAATTGGCAAAAGCAACACAGCTCTTCTCCTAAATTATGAATTAAAGGGAACTTGAAGAGGGTGAGATCTTCTAGTCCTGAAGAGAGTGACACAATGAACAGAAATCTCTCCAGGTGTATTTCCTTTAAAAATAATTTAAAGGCCAAAATATGTTATGAAGAACTTATTCCTTACCCTTGTGTTTAGTATAATTAAAGCAGCTCTGTTTGAGACAATTTGGAAATGTGTGTTTTTAAATGATTTTATTGATTTGTCTTCATCCAAAAAATGCTACACAGAAACCAGGAAATAGGAATGCTCTAGGTGCAGTTCTCGAATACGTATGCTGCTGAGTTATGTAAGAGTGTGTTAAGCTAATGGCCAGATAAAATTTTTTTGGCTTCTTGGTTAGCAAAGGGAAAAGCTAGAGTTAGTCTGAAGCCAGAACATAGCTGAAATATTTTAACAGGATCATTAAATACAGCTGACACATGATTCTCATCTACATTTATGCTTCTTCACCTATTTAAATTTTGTTTAAATCAGTGTCCCTTGATTCCCAGTCAGTCTTTTTGCTTGTTTTTGTCCTACCAATTGAAAACATAGGAAATCAATGTCACTGTTCTCCTTTTTCCTAATTTAAAGCCTGTTCATCTAGAAACCCGTGCCTTTCTATATGTACATATTCTCTGTACATTATATAAAATAATCTTTATTTAAATATTATTCCTAGGGAAAAAAAGAGCTTTTATATCTAAAAAAAATGTACAGGCAGTGTCTTAAGCATGTTTTAGCTATCATTGGACAAGCAATACAGTTTTTATGTGCTTTTAATATCCTGCACTTAGCTTGAAAATAAAAGAAACAGAAAGCCACAAACTTCCTTAGAAACATGATCTGCAATTTGTTAAAAACAATTCTAATGTAGATATTTTTTCCTCCTAGGTTTTACCAAGAGACAGTACATCTAACACTTAACTTGGATCATCTCTTGTTCATCAGCTTGAAAATCATAACAGCCCCCAAAACTGACATTTGATCTGAAAGAAAAAGCTGTGACAAATGGACAATATGTCTATTACTAACACGCCAACAAGTAGTGATGCTTGTCTGAGCATTGTTCACAGCTTGATGTGCCATCGCCAAGGTGGAGAGAGTGAAACTTTTGCCAAACGCGCAATTGAAAGTTTAGTTAAAAAGCTAAAGGAGAAAAAAGATGAATTGGATTCTTTGATTACAGCTATAACTACAAATGGAGCTCATCCTAGCAAGTGTGTTACAATACAGAGAACGCTGGATGGGAGGCTTCAGGTTAGTACAAGTGAAAATCAGATGTTTTCCTCCTAGTGGAATTGGAGCCAAAGTGAGTGAAACAGGATCCTAGAGTATTGAGGAAGAGTAGCTGTTCTGCTGCATTCCCCTCATCCCCATCTGTAGGCATGTTTTTGTGGCTGGGGCTCTGGACTGCCGCATTAGTCCATGTTTTTTTTTTTTCTTTTTTCTTTTTTTTCCTTTTTTTTTTTTTCTCCTCCCTCAAAAGGAGCAGAAGGCCTTGAATCAGCCATTCCAAATGAGCGTGTGTGTGGCAGTAAAAAGCAGGTTCACGTAACAAAATCAGTTGTCTCTCCTGGTATTTTCACTACCAGCTTCTGTTAGCTCTGTGTTGGTCAGCAGTGTCAAGACCCGCGATCCCTTGCTGAGACCCTGCAAGGGCTCCGCACGGAGGATTCGTGTTAGCCTATGTCAACAGGGCTGTATAGCTTGGGTTGTGATGTCTTTGTGCCAGGACAGATGTCATGTTTGCTGGCTAGCTTTCTGTCTACCCTAGAAACATTTTTTTTTTTTCATTTTAGAATGGATTGGCATTCTTCTACTTGCAAATTTCTTTTAGTCTAGCTTAGTGCCTCGTTCCTCTTCTTCTGGAGCAAAGATCCTTCATCATCCATGGTGGGGGAGGTGAACATACATACTACATTAAGCCTAAATTCTGCTTCTGCCTTTTTGTATCCAGTAATTTTTCTTGAAGAATCACAGTGTTGACTTAACCATAGCAAAACCCTAATTTAAACTGATTTCCATTGACTACAAATCTTCGGGAAAATGTACCAAATTTTTTTTTCATATTTTGATGATGGAGAAAAGTTGTGTTGTTTTTGCTTTTTTTTTTTTTTTTTTTTCTTCTAGCTTTGCTCCTTACTAAATGAAGGGAAATTTCTTGCTACTTTCCCAATCAACTTTTGTGTCTGACTTTTTAGGTGGCTGGTCGCAAGGGATTCCCTCATGTGATTTACGCTCGTCTTTGGAGGTGGCCTGATCTTCATAAAAATGAACTCAAGCATGTTAAATATTGTCAGTATGCTTTTGACTTAAAATGTGACAGTGTCTGTGTAAATCCTTACCATTATGAGCGTGTAGTATCACCTGGCATCGGTAAGTAGATTCTTGATGTAAAGGAATAAGCTGTAGAAATGTTTTGCTTTGATCTTAGAGAATACAGGTTTAAATTAGAAATAGAAACGTTAACTGTTAATGATATAATTATAGCTTATTCTCATATGTTCTTGTCCGTCTTTGTAATGGAGATATTCTTATACCTTTGTTGCCAATCTGAAAGAACAGGTTGTAGCTTTTTTTTTTTTTTCTTTTTTTTTAGCCTTTACATTGACTTCACAGGCAATTGCAATAGTTAATGTGTTTCCTAAGAATGATTTAGCACCTAGAGCTGTGTGATGCAGGAGTGTAGTATGTGGAGTCTTTAATATTGATCTGTGTAAGCTTATAAATTTGATGTTCAAACATTGTTAAAACACTTGTGTTTATATAATATCTCCTTTCTCTTCTCTCTCTCTTTTTTTAATAAAGATCTCTCAGGATTGACACTACAGAGTTCAAGTAAGTAGTTCTGTTTACTGCTACATTTCTATGGATCTAACTGTATTAGAGTCTTAAAATATAGGTATCTTTTGGGAAGGGAGGATAAAAAGCAGATGAAAATATTTATCTCATCAATTTTGGAAAACTTTAAGCAGCGCAGGTAAGGTAAATATATTGATCAATCCTTTCGGGAAAGGCTTCAGTTCAGCTCATAGGTAATGTCCTGCTTTTATCATCTATAAATGAAAGTTGAAAAATCCTCACTGGGGAATGCTGTTAACAAAAAACAAACAAACAAAAAAAACCCCAAAAGGCACCTGTACTATCTTAATTAACTGTTTTGGGAATTATAGGTCCTTATTATTTAATAAGTGGTTTAGCAAGTAAACAGTTGGACTTGCAAATGAGAGTTCTGCAATTAACATGCAATTGAATGAAGCAGTCTAATCATACTAGTCGCTCTGAAAATCATGGGGGAAATGTTTAAAACTTGAGAGAAATTGGACGTTGTTTGACATGATCAGAAATCGCTGAGATTGCGCAGCTAGTAACTTTTATTTCAAGACTAGAGTGCTTTCTTTTAGAGGAAACGTGTAGAGAAGTGGATCTGTGTAATGTGTAAACCTGTGCTTGCATTTTATGAAAAATGTTCAAACAAGCTACTTAAATCCAACTGCTAATGTCATAAGCTTTAACTTGGGTATTCATCTGCTGCTTTGCGTGAGTTGCCAGTGTTTTCTGAAAAATGGTCTTTTATACCGTATCTAAACATAAAGACCAGTAATTAAGTACCTGTGTCTTAAAGTGCCATGCTTTTTTCAAAAGGAAGCAGAAAATTATGGTCATATTTTAATATATTTAAGGCTGCTTTAAAAATGAACTTAGGATTTAAAGTAGTTTGCGAATTTAACATGCTCAGCAGAATATATAGAAATAAATTCTTACGATGGTGATGGTAGTAATTTCCATATCTCGTATCTGGAATATTATGAATTAAAGGCTACAGTGGAGAAGATGGAGTAGGTGCTTTATCATCTTTTAATGTAAATTTATTGGGTTTGGTCAATTATAATGGAAGTTACTTAAATTTTTTTAAGGTTTTTAGGGTTGAAAGGTTTTTGGTTTTTTATTTTAAGGGTTTAAAGATTTTTGTATACAGTATGCATGAATTACCTGTTTTAATGGGAGGCTTATGGCCTGTATTTCTGATTTATTGTAATAGGAATTGTTCTGTTACTGCATTAACATATACTCAGGCACTTATCAAAAGGCATGCTCCCCCTTCTCCTTTTTTTATCCATGTCCAATCACGCACTGATGGAATAGAAAACAAAATGAGATGGGAAGGTACTACTTTGGGGCTAAACTGCTTGTTTGAAAGCAGTAAGTAAAATAAATGTTTCGGTTTACCATCCAGTTACGCTTTAAAATTTCCTCCTGCTGGTTTTAAGTGTTTATTTATAATTTAAACGATGTTTCTCAGTGTTCTAGCAATGTTTATATAGGTCAAGTGCCCCACCCAGTAGTCTAAATAGCATTGTTACTGCTTGAAAGTAGTAGTGCAATTTAGAGTTGAATCTTTCAGGTGACTTTGCTTCGCATATTTAAGCGTTTGCTTCTTCACAGCTCCATCAAGCATGTTGGTGAAAGATGAATACGTTCACGACTACGAGGGGCAGCCGTCCTTGTCATCTGCTGAAGGCCACTCGGTCCAAACCATCCAGCATCCGCCGAGTAACAGAGCATCTACAGAGCCATACAGCACCCCAGCCATGCTAGCTCCTGCTGAGGCCAGCACTACCAGCACCACTAACTTTCCCAACATTCCTGTGGCTTCAACAAGTAAGATGGAGATTTTTTTTTTCAGAATACTAAGCTGTAAAACGTGCAAGGTTAAAGATAACCACTGATCTTACTGAAAATAGATATTGCAAGGGAAATGTAGTGTTGCGAGATTACTCTGATGCAGTGTAGTGATAGCACCATGTAGGTAATTTTGTAAGCATTCAAATGAGGATTTACTTGCAGCTTAATTTGAATAGCCTTCTATAATAAACTTTTTTTTTTTTTTCTTTAATAATGATGAGGCAGACACTACATGAGTGGTCCAAGACCATTTTGAACAGTCTAGGTTGTTCAACGCTCCAATGTTCAACTGTTGACCATTGCCAGAAAATAGCATGGCTGATACTGGAATATTTGCTCCGGGAATGGGAGCATCTCAGTATTTTATTACAACAGCAAGTGAGATGACAAACTGATTTATTTGAGGGTGGCAGTACTGAGAGGTTCACAGACATCTCTCTCCAGTGTTTTAGAAGCTGAGAGAATGAGTCTTCCAGGTTTAACCTGCTGCTGCTTGTAACTGCCTACTCTGCTACCAAAGTCACTGCCTCGATTAATATCTTCATTCCTTTGAGGTGCTTTATCTATGGTGTATTTTTTTGAGTGCTCTGTGTGTTTGGTACATGTGGAAGAGTCTGGGTAGCTGGCATCAAACCTCACACTTGAGTTTAGCAGGACAGTTGAGCATTCCCATGTTACTTGGGCACTGTCCTGCAGCCCTGATTAGAGAAACCATGGAGTTTGGAGAAGTTTCATATAGTCTGCAATACTTAAGTATGGAAGGTGTGAGTATAATAGATTTCATGCTATCAACTTTAAATTATGATGGCATGATATTTTGATTATGTTCTTTAATTTACCTGCTGACTCTTTTGTTAAAACTAATAATAGTTTTCCCAGGCTGAGATGTCATTTGTATTTGTTTCCAGAGGGGAAAAAAAGGATAGGTGGCTTAATCTGTTTGATTTAGAAAAGTGTTTTGCAAAGGCAATAACTTGTTCTTATCATTTCTATACTTGTTGGAGCCAAGTGAACAAGAAAAAAAAATAGTTTTTAGGTTTTAGTAGAAGTTTTGAATATCTGAAGTTCTGTTAGTCAGACCAGTTTGAGAGTGCAAATCTACTTGTGAAACTGCCTGCCGGTTTAGTGTGATGGCTGAGCTGAAGCCTTTTAAAATCAAATTCTGTTATCCTGTTCTGAAATTTTGGTAGCTTTGCTTTAAACATTAGACACGTCTTGAATCACCTATTTGGGAAAAGGAGGAAAACAAAGAAAATGAAAACCAAAGAAAACCCCAGCTTTTGTAGGGAGGAGTTCTGTGATGTACTCAGCTGTGTTCCAGCACTACTTGTTAAAAGAAAATGCTGTTCAATATGTTTTGGAGAAATATGTATTTCCATGACTGTCCTCATTAGGAGCAGTAGCAATAGCATCTTAAAAAACATTTATTGGGCAGACTGTTCATTGAGTAAACCTTTAGCATTGCCACTTTCTTTTAGATTGAAAGATGAGATGTGTGCGAGTTTTCTGCATATTTCTACTCCTAAAATATTAAGGGTGTCTTAAGAGTCAAAATTAGCTCATAGAAACCATCTTGCTCAAAAATTCCCAAGGCGCTTGGGGGAGGATGAGGGTGGGAGAAAAAAAGGCACCAAAACCAAGCTGTGGATTGCAGTGCCCTCAGCTGGGTGCATTTTCCTACCCAGTAGTGCTGAGCTCTTCTTAATTCAAATTTTAGAACGTGCATGAATAGGTAGTGTGTTTTTTTACCAGGTCAACCTCCCAGTATATTGACAGGTAGCCATAGTGATGGACTCTTACAGATTGCTTCAGGGCCCCAGCCAGCAGCTCAGCAGAATGGGTTTACAGCTCAACCAGCTGCTTATCACAGTGAGTATATACATATGTGCACTCTTAGTTTTCTAAAACCACTTTCCAAATGTTCAGGAGAAATAAAGGATTAGAAATAAGATGAAGAAAAACTCCCTTAAAAAACAATAACTCCTTTCTTTCTTTTTCTAGATAGTACTACAACTTGGACTGGAAGTCGGACGGCAGCCTACACACCTACCATACCTCACCACCAGAATGGCCATCTTCAGCACCATCCACCTATGCATCCTGGACATTACTGTAAGTAATGTAGATTATAAAGTCGTTTCTTTCTTTCTTTTTTTTTTCTGTTACAGTGATTAGTCCCCCTCAGCCACAAAGCCTGTTCTTTCTTTTTACGAAACATCAATTATTGGACGTAGTAAATTCTGGCAGTTTAATATACAAGCTTAATGATCTTCTTTCATTTAAAGCAGCAGTAAGAGAGCAAAAATTCAGATGGCTATCGTGAAACTAGCTATACTGTACCTGTTTTTTATGTAACTAAAATAGTGTTTCCTTTTGAAACCTCTAACTTAAAAGCCTCTGTAATTTTGAAATAAGTACTTCTTTGGATCTTTAGATCGTTTGCTCAAAAGTTAATGCAGAATGATGTTTGGATCTTTTTTTTTTTCCTTTAAAGTCTTGAGGTTGCTATTTTTATTCTCTAGAAGTTTTGAAGTCTCATCTTAATGATAGAGTACTCTAAACTTTGGAGGACATGTTTGTCCATGTGTGTAAGTCAGTTTAGAAGAACTGTTCAAGAACTTATGCAGTAAATACTTGTCAGCAGAATGGTCTTGCGACAGCCTGATTCATGAGTGCATTTGGCACGCAAGCTTCAGCATCTCTGGGCTATGAAATAAGAGCATAACCTCTCCTGTTATGGTACAGGCGTTGGGGAGGGAAAAAAAATTACCAAATCTCTTAAGTGCCTAGCAGAGTATGTGTGTTTAAGATAAAAACAAAAACAAATAAACAAAAAAACACGTTTTTTTCTTAATTTTGGTATTCAGACATGGCAAAAATCTGGAACAGTTTTGGATTCTCTAATATAGTCCTTAACCAGTTAATCTGTGTGTGGCAGTCATTGTTCTTGGGCTAGTCAAGGGGAGAATATGATGTGAGATAATGTTAGAATGACTCTCCAACCTGTCTTTGTGAAGAAAAATTGTGGTTTAGATCTGGTTATTAAATTTAATTATCCTTTTCTATTAGGATCCCACTTCATTTCTCATCTTACTTGTCAGAAATACCAGGACTGAGAAACTGCACTGGTGCTGTAGATACTCTATAATATAATGTCTTTCAGTGCAAGTATCTTTCCATAATTAATATTTGTAGCTGAATGGTAACACCACATAGTGCTTTTCTTGGCTGCTGCCTCTTGTCACTTCAGAAAGTTTCATCTTTTGACACCTACCAACGTTGTGCCTGTTTTGACATCTTGTTGGAGAAGCTTACAGAATTATGTTTAAGTCTCTCCTTGTTCTGTGCTGCCTGTAAGCACAGGCTTAAAAGTGGAAAGAACAAACTGACCTTTACCAAGACCATATTCAGTATCATTTTTCCTTTAGAAAATTTGTTCGCTAGGGCTTTTCCACTCCCCCAACCAGTCTTTAGATGATGATTCTTTACAGTCAAGTCAGGGAGGGTGTAAAGCAGATGGAGCCAGACTTTCCTCAATGGTTTCCAGTGATAGGATGAGAATTGCTGGGCACAAATTGAAACACAGAAAGCTCCATCTGACCATGAGGAAAAAGAGGGTGGCAGAGCACTGTGAAAGGTTGCAGGCACAAAGAGGTTGGGGAGTCTCCATCCTTGGAGATCCTTAAAACCCTTCTGAACATGGCCCTGGGCAACATGTCTAGGCAACCCTGCTTGAGCAGGGGGATTGGAGCTCCCTCCAGAGATCCCTTCCAGCCTCAATCACTTTGTGATTTTTGGAGTCCATAACATCCTGGGCAACCTTTTCTGTGAATAGTGAAGCTATTTCTGTTACAACTTTACAATATACCTAGTTTCTGCTATCTCCTTGAGCTGGTTCTGGCTTGAGCAGCACAGATAGCTGTTATGCTTATACTGCAGCCTTTCCTCATGGGGTACCAGTTGAGCTCCTTCCTCTATACAATTTCTGAATTTTCAGGAAGCCTGCAAGAGTGCAGTTCTTCTCTGGATGCTCATTTTCTGCCAGATTTGGCTACTATGTCACAAATCTCCCAAATTTCTGAATCTCTGGCATCTTCTCACAAGCCTTGTTTCCATAGAAAAGCAGGTTAAATAAAGAAAATATTTTTTCTCATGTAAAATAAATTGCTTGCTTTTTTTTTTTTTTTAAGGGCCAGTTCACAATGAGCTTGCATTCCAGCCTCCTATATCAAATCATCCTGGTAAGTGAAATAGTGTGCTATATATCCTGCAAACTAATAACTTTCTGTTTTGAGTCTCATTTCTTATAGAAAGTACTCTGAAATTTGTGGGATATGTTTTCCCGAGGGGAGGAGAGGAGGAAGGAACCCATTTGTGATGAGTCTCCCTTTGATTTTGGACCTCTGCTCTTTGGACCTCTAAAGTGGTGTGAACTGAGCTTAATTTAGGTTCCTAAATCAAATCACAAAAACAATCCTCAAACCCACACTGAGCTGCTGTCCAATCCTGGAGATTTCTGGTCTCTGTAGCTAGTGGTTGGATATTGAAAATTGCTAGGTACTGAACCTGTGCTTCTGTGCCTGCTTAGAAGCATCATGGAGCCAGGGGTTTGTGGATGGCAGAGAGAGAACTGACTTTTCTGCCTGCTTACCAGGCTGTCGTGTTTAGGTCCTGTCACTTCAGCTTCCCCTAAATTGAGTTCATGCTGTTGATGATTTTCTTTGCCCTCTTCAACAAGTTGGGCTGTTACTGTGTTGTGGAAAAGGTCCATAAAGGTGTTGTAAGCCTCTGAAATCCCCAGTAACTTAAGCTTCTGGAAATGTTTGGATTTATGTGTCTGAAAAGGGAAACTCTTAATGCTTGAAGTGCTCAGGTTGGGTGTTGCAGAGGATTTGGAGAGCCAGTTGCTCTCAGCTATCCCCAAAGCAACAAATACACATACAGAGCATCACGTTGTGTTGTCAGGTTTCCTTGAGAGTTTGGGTTTAGTAGCATCCTCTGAGGAATCAGGATTCCCCATCCCCACATGGCAGCTTCTTGCATGTGCCATCTTGTTTTTCTTTATAAACTAGTATGAGTTAAAAAGACTCTCTTTGTTTTTTCTTTTAACATGTTGTTTTGTTCCTCTCCTTTGCTTAATACTGTTTTTCTTCTGCCTGCCTTGCTTGCTGGGAAGCAGTATCTGATCTTTGAGATGATTTTCCCCTCTGCCCTTCTTTCCAAACCCACTCTCCTTGCAGAGCAGACACAAAACTGACTTCTCTTAGGAGTTAGTTACTTTTACATCTCGAGCAAGATCTCTTTGAGGGTTAGTTTCTACCAACCTAGCTCTGGACAGCTGGAATGTTCCTTTATGCTAGAGGAGTCCAAAACCAAACCACAGCCATGAGGCACAGGGGTGCAGAGGTATAAATTGTATGAAGATTTGTGAGTTTTTTTTTAGCCATAGGCAGAAAACACCGTTGATATGCGGGATAGTGGTATTGGTATGTGATCAAAAGAAACTTACAAGCCTGTGGTCTTCGTAGCATGTAGGATTTTCTCTACTTGTAATGTCTTTGTCCATCTAAGCTTTGGGCATGTGCACTCCCATTCTGAAAGAGAGTGCAGCTACAGAAGGCCTAATTGATCGTCTCTAATGGGTTCATAGGGTTTTTTTTACATACATTTCAGTCTGTTAATTGTTTGTCGTCTTTAGCTCCAGAATATTGGTGTTCAATCGCATACTTTGAAATGGATGTGCAAGTTGGGGAAACATTTAAGGTTCCTTCAAGCTGTCCAATTGTTACTGTTGATGGATACGTGGATCCGTCTGGAGGAGACCGTTTTTGCCTGGGCCAGCTTTCCAACGTGCACAGAACAGAAGCCATTGAGAGAGCAAGGTATTTTACAGTTACCAAAAGTTGTCTGTTGTGCTTGGTAATATTTTTTGCTTGGTAATTTTTTTTTCTGAAATTGCCAGTGTGGTATGTACTGTGGAGTTGAGTTAGCTATAGCAGAATATGTATTTCCAGGCCACTAGCTTAATGCATTCAAAATGTGAGCTGTGTGATAGGGACCTTTAGTGCTTTGCAGCAGCACACTGCCTTTCATTGCTTTCAAAACGGTGCCTTTGAGGATAAAATTAGCAACTCGTGCCATTATGCATGCGAGCTGAGCACTAGCTCTGCACCACAGATGAAGTAATGTGAGAAGAAATGCAATATATAAATTTGACGAAGTGGCAAAGGAAGGTTGCTAGAGAAAGCTAGCTGTTTTTTTGCTGCTGCTTACTGTACATGCTCTTTGAAGCACAGAGAACCCAAGTGATCCTGCAACTTCTTCCTTTTTGCTTTGAAATGAAGAGGAATCAAGTGATTCCCTGTCTCCAAAACCATTGCAGTGGGAACATCAAAGCTGCATTGTGGCATCAAAATGCTAGACTTCTGTTATGTGATCCCCCCAAAAAATATACAGTTCTTCGTTAAAATCTGAATTTGTACCTGTAGTTCAGTGGCTTCCTATGTTAGAAGGCTTGTGGGATTTTACACTTCTGAATAGCACCCTGAATATGTTTGGTATCCTGGTTCTGTGGTGGCAGTGAACATATTTACAGCTATTTTACTTACTACTTGAGTATTGTTTCTGCATTCTGTGTTTCCTCTGTATTTTATGTGGTATTGCAGGTGGGTTCTTGACTTCACAGATTAAGATATTCTAATTTCAGCTCCTCCTGTGAGCAAAGTGTTTCTGAATGTAAACTGTGGTATCATGAGCTGTTGAGATGGAGAATTCTGTAGTTTATTCAGTAAGGATGTAACTTAGGGTGCCTAAACACAAGTACACGGGTGCTGTGTTCCTTTTTAAGGTTGCACATAGGTAAAGGAGTGCAGCTGGAGTGCAAAGGAGAAGGTGACGTGTGGGTGAGGTGCCTCAGTGACCACGCAGTCTTCGTCCAGAGCTACTACCTGGATAGAGAAGCAGGGCGAGCGCCGGGCGATGCTGTCCACAAGATCTACCCAAGTGCATATATCAAGGTTGGTCCCATGCTCTCGGAGGAGTATTTTGGGGAAAACAGCACACGCTTGCTTCTTATAAATGCATTTATTTTACTCTCAATATTCTCTACCAGCACAAGTAATTTCACCTTTGATCATTGTTTTTTAAAAAACAATATATTTCTTTTGGCACATAAAAAAAACCTTTGCATTTAACAAGTCACTCTAACTTTTCAATAGCTCTAAAAGTTATATCACCTAGGTATTAGGGAAGCAACTGATTTTGTATTTTCTTACAAAAAAAAATCTCCATTGCAGTTTGTATTTTTACATTTTTAGCTTTATGATTTTAAATGAGCTACCACAACATTTGATCGTGGATTATCTCTTTCTTCACTTTCGCTCCAAAACAAGAAAATCTAGAATTTAAGTTGCCGCATACTTTTAAGTGGTTAAGTGTGCATTTAAAGTGTTACTAATATGAAAATACCTAATGAATGAGTTAGAAGTCGTAGAGCTACCTAGAATCAAATACTTCTGGGAAAGATTCTTAACTAGGTGGGCCTTAACCAGGTGGGTGTAGTTTTTATTTAGGGTTTTAAATAAGCCCTAAAATATTATTAAATATTTTCAGTGTCATTTTTGATAAACTGTTTGAAATGAGATTTGCAGTGGCTTGGGTTTTTCATATTCCCTTCTTCAGTATTTCCTTTAACTTCATTTTTTCCAGGCAGGCTGTATAATAAAGATGAAAGAGATACCACCAGTCTCTTTTTAATGAAAGCTTTCTAGTATGTGAACAGAGTTCCTGATATCAGTGCCTACCCTGACCACAAAAACATGAAATGCCAGCACGCTAAAACTTAGCTATTGCAACTGCAACTATGTTGTTTATGTTTCTTCTAAATTCACTATTTTGTGTCACTAAAGCAATGGTGAGGTTGAGGTGGGCTTGCTGACTTCCATTTTTACCCGCATGCTTAGCTGCAGGAGGTGCTAGGATTTAATAAAAATAGCCTATAAAAAGTAAAACAACCTGCATTTCGTCAGCCTGTAGTACTTTGATCCTGCAGTCAATTCCATGTAGAATCCTGCTTGAGCCTGCGCAGTTTGGGCCGTTTTAAGTGACTGTGTTGGTGTAGCCACTGGTGCTTACATCAGATAAAAGTCTGTAAGAGTCACTTCAGTGAGTTATTTCAGTTGGAAATTAAACTAGCCAGGAAAAGTTTGATCTTGCCCAAGTGAGAGGTGTATCTGGAATTTGCTTTGGGAGGGCAGAACAGCCCAGGTAGTAGGAGATGGAGATTGAGGAATTCTCTCCTTTATTGGTAAATCTACATGACACAATATATTTATATTTTGAAGGTTTTTGATTTACGACAGTGTCACCGACAGCTGCGACATGCCACTGCCCAAGCTGCTGCTGCTGCCCAGGCTGCAGCAGTAGCAGGAAACATCCCTGGACCAGGATCAGTAGGTGGAATAGCCCCAGCCATTAGTAAGTACATCAACTTCAATCTTCCATTTTTCTTTGAAAGCAAATAATCCTGTTCTCCCTTGTAACAGCACACACATGCTTTCACCTCCTTCCTGCAGCACTACAAATGTAGAATTAGGGTCTGGATTTGGACAAAGTGAGGCTGAAGTGGTATTTAAGTCCCTATTTGTTCCCTTTGTGCTTGCCTTGCACTTCAGTTTCTCACTGTGGTCCTCAGGAGACACTGAATATGGAAGTGGCTTCTTGTTCTGTGAGGAGTGTTGCAGGGTATGTTACATACAAGGTCAAGCAGTACAATTGCATTACTTCAAAGGGAGAGAGGTTTTCTGCTGCTTAAGCAGATCCAAGTTTGAAAAATGATCTTTGAGAGCTAGGCTTATAAACATGCTACTAAAAGCAGTGGAGAGGGCAGGGCCACCACATCCCATATTCAGTTTTAGAAAACTGCATATTAAGGTTCTTGAGAAGATGAGGAGGAGGATGTGAGGGTGTTTTTTCCTCTTTCTGCTTTTAAATTATTCTGATCTAGAATTTTACTGGTTGATAAATTCTAGATCTTAAAATTCTCTCTGAATACTTCTAAAATAGTGAATATTTATGTCAGACCTCTTCAGGCTCCATAGTGCTTTCTTATGTTCCTTTTGTTGCTTAGTGTGTCTCTCCAGCTGTTTTTAAAAATGTTGAAAGCATTTTGGTGGAAGTGTTTAATTTTTGTCTTAGCCATACTTAGAAGTTTGCTTGTTGTGTTCATCCTCTTTTGTTTTACCAGAGTAAGTGATTAGTGTAATTGCTTTTTGAATTCAGCTCCCTGTGGCTGATCTTATGCTGAAATCCATGTGCTAAAAGCACAGCATTCAACAAACTTCAAGAATAAGTGTTTTTGGTGGGATTTGTTAAATGGAGTTTAAGCATAGTGTGTCACATAAGACACTAGGTTTCATCATACAACTGCTTTCATTATAAGGAGCTTTTGCAATTTAAAACAACTTTGAAAAGTTTTATGGGAAGAAATGTGAAATTGTTGCCGCATTCATTATGGCACCGAACTGGAAATATTAATTGGCCTTGGCTGTGATGAGAGAGACCTGCACGTGGAGGAGCAGCCAAGCAAATGGGATGGCTAAGGAAGCAGGGGGTAACAGAGCGTGTGTGTGAGCACTTACTGGAAACCTCTCCCGTGCAGGTTTGTCAGCTGCTGCTGGAATTGGTGTAGATGACCTTCGGCGCTTGTGCATTCTCAGGATGAGTTTTGTAAAAGGTTGGGGACCTGATTACCCAAGGCAGAGCATCAAAGAGACACCCTGCTGGATTGAGATCCACTTGCACCGGGCCCTGCAGCTTCTCGATGAAGTTCTCCACACCATGCCGATCGCAGACCCACAACCTTTAGACTGAGATCCCTCTGCTGCGCTGCTGTGGGCCATTATATTGTGAGGATGGTGGATTGTAAAATACAATTCTGTTTATAACCTAAAGATATATTTTACCTTTGTTCTGCTTAATCTTCTAAAACCAGGTTTTAAAAATGTGTTTGCCACCTTGCTCTTAGCAGAAAGTAATTGAACATGCAGAAGTTGGATTTTGGTTATTTTCAGAAATTAACTGTCATAATATATGGCTCAGGGCTTAAAGTAAAGGGCGAATGCCTTATAGAGACTTCACAGTACTGGATTTGTTCCCTTTGAAGCTTTTCCTCTCTATCATGGCAACTTGATGCTAAGCCTCACAGGAGCCTTTTGTATGCAGAATATATATTATATATATATATTTATATCTGAAAATTCCTTCTAATAGTTATAAACACTTACCTTATAGCAACTTTTAAATTTCAACTGATGTTCTTTTTGGAGAACAAGAGTTAACAGAAGACTTCATTTTGTTGACCGTCTTGTTGTGATTTTTTCCAGATTAAAAGGTAGAAGTTGCCAAAAAAGAGGGATGAGACATACATTGTTTGGCAATGATGAGAAATAAAAAGGAAAAGAAAGTTGCTTTTCCATCACTAGTTTTTAAAAGGATATCTTAGATTTTTATTTATATAGACACGTGAGTTTTGAAACACTAAAACGAATGGGATACTTTCAGTGCTGGCACTCAGTTTAAATATAACAAGAAATACCCAGTCTGCAAAGTTGCCACTTAAATTGCTTAACGAATACCTAATGGCAGGAAGATATTTTCATAATTACTACTGACTTCTATGATCTTATTCAAGTAAAACTTGGAAGGTATTTTAAAAAGTTGCATGACTCTTTACTTGCATATACCATTAAATCATGTATCAATACTTAGGATCCAGTTTTTGTATCTGTTCACCATTTCCACTCAGGGCAAGATGGCAAACTTGTTTTTATACCTCTTGGTTATTTTAAGCTCTATGCCATCAAAGACTGTATCAATTGGCAATGACTTTGTATAGAGAATTTATAGTAGAAAAAAACTGCAGATGTACTGACTGTATGACAGATACAACATGTATGCTTTCTCTCTAGTCAATAGTATAAATAAAATTATGAAAACACTGATCTTTATAAATTTAGTTTGCTTTTGTTACGTAATTCTGCACCTTGAAACCCTTGATCTGGAGTGGTGGATTCCTCCCTTTGGAAGGGCAGCAGCAGCAGCCAAGGGTGGTCAGATTTCAGTTTGCCAGGAAGAGATTCCAGCTTTTCTTGTTGTCGCTGCTTCTCCATAAATATGCGTCCTAGGGATATCTTTTTTTCCAGTTATTTGATGGGGCGTGAGGAGGAAGCCGGAGTTCCTGGCTTTTCAGCACGTGTGCAGGGAATTGGAACTTGAAGCAGGCTGGAAATCCGCAGATTCCTGCCCAAATGCTGTGCTCAGCCCTCCCAGCACCGCCGGCCTCGTGGGGAACGTAAGTGCGAGCCGTGGAACGGCTGATTCGGGATCTTGTTGCCAGATTTCTTGCATAGATCCAGGAATCCGTAGAGGGCTGCGACACGCAGCGTTTGCATGTGGCTCCCTCCGTACGTCACATTCTTATGGAAGAAGTGTCCTTGGTTCTGCTTCACAGATGGAAGCGCAGAAGACGTGATTCCAATGTGACGGCCAGAAATGGAATGGTTTTCTCAGTATTTTCATTAATTGTGTTGCTTTCTTCCTGTTAACTTTTAAGGAAATCACTTTTTTTTTTCCCCTGCCTCTTACGTGGCAGCTTATTGATGTCCAGCCTTGTGCCAGGTGAACCACTTAGAGTGGAGCAATCACTTAATTAGGAATCCGTGAGTTTGTTCCCTAGGCTGCCTTTTCCAAAGGTGCTTGTCTTGATGGATGCCTGCTCTGGATATGGGCTACTTCACAGCAATCATCTTTATTTGCTTATGTTTTCATTCTGCCAAACTTTGACAGCATAGTGAAAGATTCCTGCCACCCGATGGTGTTCCTGCCTGTGTTGAACTCTGGGAAGAGCTCAGGTGATAAGACTGTTTTTATGGAGATTTTGCAAGGGTTAACCTCCACCTCCAGTGAATGGTACCTACAACACTCTGCGTCATCCGAAGTAAAAAAAAAAAAAAAATCAGAACAACAAAACAGAATGTAAAAAGATTTCATTGGAACAAAATATAACAAGTTTCCAGAGAGGAAGAAATCTGAACTGTGAGGCAGTAAAAATAACGAAATGCCATTTATTTTAACCTACTGTGCAGTCAGCAATCTGATTCAGTCTTAACTGCTAAGGGGCAAAACACGAACATCCAGGTCTTAATTTTTAATATGCCTTTAAGTTATTTCTTTGCATTCTTACGTGACGAAGCAGCGCGCAGCGGCTCGGAAACCCTGGAGCAGCAGCACGCGGAGTCGCTGACCCGCTCCTGCTCACAGCTCTTCCCCGAAATCCAGGGAAAAGCAAAATCCTGCTCTCGTGCCCGGACACTCTGCGCTCACCCCGTCCTGGCGCCGGGGATTCGCACTGGAAGGGTGAGGGGGTCCCCTTGTGGGAATAACACTTAAAATAGTGGGATAGAGATGTAGAATCGACCTGTACAGGGGGGTGGTTTAGAAGCCCTTCCAAACTTGAAGGGTGATGTGAGGGCGAAGCAGCGCTGTTGAGAAATAGTTGCTGGGCTCATTCCTTACGTCTCCGGGCTTGGAATAGGGGACCTGGACCCCCGGAGTGTGACACGAGTCATTGATTCACGGCTCTGAAATCTGCTGAGACCTTGGGGATTATCCTGGCTTCTAGTCATTGACCACGTGTCCGAGCTCCTGCCTTACCCCTACAACCGGCTGCGTTCTTGTGACGTCCCCGAAGGTGACGGCCCCGCGCTCATCCCGCTGGAAACCATGAAAATCCCTGTGCCGGATAAACCAGGGGGTGCCCTCTGCCTCCGAACCCCACGATGATGCGCACGTGTTGGTGAGGTCCCTCTTGGGACACGTTTCCCCTCTGCTCCTCGTGGAATACGCGCTGTGCAGGGCTGTTTCCGTAGCCGGTGCCTTGCTCTGCTCGGGATGGCGCCCGCGTTGGTGCAGCCCGTCCAGCACGGCCAGATGGGGCTTCCTCCGAGCAGGATTCAGGCTGCAGTTAAGAAATCCTCTTTCCTCCCCTTCCTGCTGCTCTTCCAGGCCCCATGTCACTTAGCATCTGTTCTGGGAAGGTGCAAGATGCTTTTCTGTTGGCAGGGATTGATAAGGACATGAAGTTATTGAGAGGTCACTTTATTTTTCAACTCTCTGAAAGAGCATCCGTGAAAAGCAACAGTCTTGCCTGGTCCTGCTGGTAACCGCGGTGTCTTTCCGTGTCCAGCGACATTTCCGCAAGGACCGTGGCCCTTTTTTCTGGGGCTTTCACTTGCAGGGGGTCTTGCGGGTGGCGTTTGTCACCTCCCAGAGCTGCCACCAAGGACGGGGCCGAGGACGAGCCCTTCTCCACCCGCTGCCTGGGTGCTGCCCGTGCCCCCTCATCCAGCCCCAAAAACCTGATCCTGACAATAGCATTTCCAGAAAACGATCTGTTGGCTAAAAATCTCAAGCGATTTTGGCCCTGTTGGCTGCTGTTGTGCCTTGTGTGCGAGTCATGCATCACTCCTAAACTTACAAGACTAATTCTTCAGAGGTTGCCCCCAAAAACCGAATCTGGCGCTTTCTCGCTCCTCGGACCTTTTTCTTTGTCTTTTTGGTGAAGTTTGTAGCTCCGCCACGTTGTGGTTCAGCTGGATGGAGAGCCGCAAAGTACACGCGGCCCAAAACTCACTGTGAGAGGGTGTTTTGAGCGTGAAAGCCTAGGTAAAAAAACATTCTTTTAGCCATTGCCTTTTGATAAGCGGTCTACAGAATTCCCAGTAGTTCCTTTGTAGCTTACTGTATGTTTTTCATTAGGCCTAGTTTGTGGATAATATACTGTAGTTAACTTTCCTGAAATTCTGTAACAGAGTATGTTTTTGATTAAAAAAGGTAAAGATTCAAGTCTTCGGCATCTTCATTGTGTTGAGGGGGGAGCTCGGGCGCCGTCGCTGGCCCAGTGGGACCGGGTGGCCGGAGGGGCCCGGTGGCAGCTCGGGAGCCTCCTGGTCTCAGCGTCTCCTTTATCCAGCGCTTTTTCCCAGCCGGCTTCAGATCCCGCTTCCCTGTGTGGGAGTTCCGAGGGCTCCCGGGGCTGGTCCAGCGCAAGGGAACGCAGCTGAGGACGCAGGTAGGAGGGCGTTTGCAGCCCCTGCGCTGGCTCCATCCTGCGGCCACGATCTGCTCCCTGCTGTCAGCTCCTCCGTCTCATCCTGAAGCCGGAGCAGCCCCTCGTCCGGAGCAGGTGCCCCCAGAGGGGGATGGAGGCTCCATCCCTGGAGATGCTCAAAACCGGCTGGATGTCACCCTGGGGGCCCTTCCCAGCTCCCGTGCCTCCCTCGTCCGGCTCTCCGGAAAAC